CATTACTCACACGAGATCAGCTGTACACAGTTTAGGCCAAGGCAGTCTAGACTGTTGCGGAATATTACATCACAAATAAATCAGGCCATGTCACTTTAGGGTTAAAGATGATTAATCTAATAGTACTGAGTGATAATGAGAAATTGTGTTTGCATAAACATTATTAAATGGTCCAAGAAAACTCCATCAGAATCCATTAGGGTTTTTCAAGTACAAAATGTACTGTAAGGAAATGTTTTGACCTATATTTTTCATTACAGTCATCCTACAAAGACAGTTTAGATGCTCTATGATTATCTAGTATGTGTGTTTCGACACTGGAGAAGTAGTACTTGTAACATATATCGGAACAAATGGAATAAGAGCGATGTAATTAAGGAATTTAAAATGATGACTAGCAAGCAAGGAATAAAAAAGAAGAAAAAAAAAAAAAATTGTATTATGTCTCTTCCTAAAGAAAAAGTCATTGAAAGTTAGTTGAAAAGTACCAATAAAACAAAGTTTAACAAAAGGGAATGTGCATGTAGTTATTTACCATTATCAGTAATATTGCAATATCTATAGATGATAGTTCTGTGTAATAGTGTTCCCTGTCTCTCTCTCCTCCTCCTCATCCCTCTCTCTTCTCTCCCTGTCCTCCTCCTCCCTCACTCTTCTCTTCCTCTCCTTCTCCTCCCTCATTCTTCTCTCCCTCTCCTCCTCCTCCCTCTTTCTTCTCACACATAACAAAAAAGGAGGCCATGGACTTACGAGATGATACATGAAGTGGAATGGAGGATGAATAGCATGAAACTATAGCAGAGTATTTCAGGAGAACTTTAAGAATAAAAAACTAAATCTGTTTTCTGAGGTAAGGAATCTGTTGAGTTACCTCAGTGACAGTCAAGGAGTATCTGCCAGCTGAGATTCTGATCTTACTTCAAATATTTATCACACATAGTCATCACAAAACTTTTCTGATTTTATGAAAGATGTAATTAAGCAAGTTTTATGGATAGACTTTTATTCTAAACTAAAATTGTTTTGTATTAGGTATGCCACGTCTTGACACCCTAGATTTATTTCCTTCTCACAAGGACTGGTAGATTTTAGGAGGCTAAGGTAAAACATGGATACAAGCACTAATTACATTTTTTTGATAAACAAAACAACAAACAGGAATGGTACAGTATCCATTAAACAAAGAATAATAGTTGCATTTCTTTCTTTGACAGCAATTATATTTACGAATGCAGAATGAAACTCAATTTGAACATTCACATTTCAAATGTAAGATAACATCTGCATAATTTTACTTTTACCCTATATAATGCAGAGTGATAAAAGGGCACAGTAGTTCCTTATGTTTCTTAGTCATAGTAAAGTACTAGGTGGAGTGTATGGTCCATGTATATGCAAAGAAACCAATAAATGTCTGACAGCTGCACCTGATGTGTATCTGCACCATCTATTTGCAAAATGACTAAGAAAAAAAAGAATAAAAAAGTAACCTTGTTTCAACACATTGAAATAAAATCTGCTACATTCGCTGAGTGTACTGTTTTTATCAATGATTAATTTGAATATTTTGTAAATCTGATTACTTGTACTATACAGAATTTGAGTTCCTTAGGTAAAATGAGAATGAAAAGGTAAAATAATTACACAGCTGTAAGAAATATGTGCCACTTTAATTGAATACCAGTTTAGTGTATTTACAAAAAGTCAAGTAGCATATGTCTGGAAAATTGAGGGAAGAGATGCAAAAATTGAGTAAAAGAAATGGTTATAGATGGATATAACCATTGTTTGATTTATTACCAGTGGAAAGTTGGCTACGAGATTAAAGACTTTGATTGAAGAGTGAAATTGTGCATGCGAGGCCAAGTAAAAAAAAGAAAAGAATAAAAAAAATTGTAATCTGACCATACTTTGAAGAACTAACCATGAAAATTTCAGTAAATTAATTGATTCTGAAGGCATTCCATGAAAGAATTATAGCTCCATACCATGTTATGGACACTTTTCTCTATTTATTTCTTTTTTTCTTTTTTACTTGGCCTAACCATAGTTTTGATGAGGTAAATTGATTTGTGAATAAAACACATTCTACATCAGAGAATCTTATCCCACCTATGATTCTATAGCAACCTCAAGGAAGAGTATATGGAAGTATATGAAATGGATGATACTGTACATGGACAAGAACGAAAGAGAAGAGTAATAATAAAATTCATATTAAATTATTTTCATCAACACAATACTTCAAAATTAAAAGAGCGAAAGGGATGTAAAATATAAAACATCAGTTACTTGATACTGCAAATAAAACTTGAAAACCAACTTAACCAAAACCTTTCATAGAGTTTTCATGTTGTTTTTCCTCTAAAGAAACATATCTCCAGAGCAAGAGGAAATAATGAAACAGAAAAAAAATGTTCAAAATATTGTAATCAAAGTCCTTTCAACGTACATAAAATCCAAAATACGTATCACAATTAGAATCCAGTCTTTGCATACAAAACGGCAACCCACATCTAACATTACAGAAAACTTAACAAATAAATCTTTTGTGCATAATTATAGATATAAAAAAATTTAATTCTTTTAAAACACACTCATAATATCAATCACAAGCGAGCTCAGTCCAACTACATGTTAAACCATACATACCAATATCTATAAACCTGGTAACTCTTACTCTTACTCTGTTATTGCAATTTCATGAATCTTTGTGGCAGTGGAATGTATCAGAGTAAATCATTTTTCCTTTTTAAAACCCATGATTTAAGGTTATAGATGCAATGAAAAGGCAATTCCTTGACGGGAATATGCAATTGCTTTAGATGGAAAAAAAAAAGAAGATAAAAAGGCATAACTATAAAAGAAATGCTTTTTGGTTATCGAGCCCTTATATCTTGGGAAGACTATACAGTTACCACACTATTACATGGCAGAAAGGTTTATAGACGAGATAACATTATGGCTCATTATAGTTGTGCAGCATTAAGATAAATCCATTAAGATATGCACAGCTAAAATATCTACTGTCGGAGAGCTTTGCATCCAGTCTCCTAGACCTTTTTAATCACTGAGATAACTGCCCTTCTTGACACTGAAAGAAGAAAGTATAAAATGCATACCCTTTTTCTTAGAAGCTAATTTGAGCCATTAACAATTACAACAAAGAATATGAAAATATGGGTCAATAACCTGGGCCTGACATATGTCTTAATTTCTGAGTTTGACAATAAGCTTTAAAATATGAAAATCTGATTTACTTTAATTTCTAGTGATAAGAACATCAATCTTACAACTCATTTTTTTTTTTTTTACTTTTTGGAAGTAAAATAAGAATGTGAAAATTACCTTTTTTCAAAGGTATTACAGATGAGTTAGCCAAGTACATAGTATGTCAAAAATTAAATATTAAATAGCAATACTCATTATTGGTGTGAGAGAGAAAAAAAGAAAAAAGGAAAAAAAACAAACAAACAAACTTGAAAATGAGTATAAATCACCCATTGTACATAAGTAACTCATAATATAATATAAATAAATAATGAAGAATGAATCATGAATTGACTTGAATCACCATCTGAGCAATGACTAATTCTGCACATCCAATATACCAAAGGAGCAAGCCAACAAACTGAAATTGTAACAATGTGCTTCCAGATTAGCATAGTTTTTGTATGCAAAGTGACAATCATTTGGTGCTGGAAGGTACATCAGATTACACAAAAATATAATATAAAAACAACAAATACACTGTTACTTACACCACTTCTACAACAAAGCAAAATACTATTGCTGCCACCCATATAAATGTGATAATGTACAACCTTTCTGTAATTACACCGTTGGCAAATGTAAATGATATATTGTGCTTTTCCAGCAACATTGACTTTTTTCAGTAACAACCAGCAAAGTACTTTCCATTTTCAACAACTCAAAATTAAACATATAATTTCTCTACTGCAAATATCTGGAATTCAAGTTGTCACATTGACTAGATCATTGTATAATGATACCATGAGCATATGAAAGCAAGTCAAAAAGGCTCAAATAATTATGGAAAGGTCTCATATTAGTAAAACATGTGAATCCAGACTGAATACAATTACTGTATACTAACCACACATGAGAGTACAAGCAATGTTTTCAGAGTGTGAATATGGCTCTGAGAATAAACAGGAATAAACAGGAGGAGCAGGGAGTGGAATAAATACAAGAAGAGGCAGAGCAAGATCGACAAAAGGAAGAAGAGGAGACAGAACAAAAAGGAAAGAGAAAAGGGTAGGAAAGAAAAAGAGAGAGAGAGAGAGGGAATGAGAGAGAGTAGGGGAGACTGCAGGAGGCTCAAAGGGTGTGCGAACAAGAAGAAGAAAAGATGGGAAAAGAAGCATATGAATTGAAACATGAGTGAACGTGTATGTGTGTAAGGGATGGTGTACACATATGCATATGCCTCTACTTAATCTCATACATATGTCACATGTATATGTGGATGAGTTGATGAAAATCTCATAAAAATATATTCATGCTTCCTTGATGTTAAAACAAATAGACTTAAAAACAATTATCCTCCAACCGGATCATCACAGATGTATTCAATTGCTCAGTTCACAATGCATCAATACAATTTAATAAGTGGACGGTTAGTTTAACCAAAATGCCAATAATCTCTTTATCAATGTGTAAATATAGTTACACACATACATACATGTAAATCTAATGTGTCTCTTTGAGTGTATATATATATGTGTCTCTTTGAGTGGTTGTGTGTGTGTGTGTGTGTGTGTGTGTGTGTGTGTGTGTGTGTGTGTGTGTGTGTGTGTGTGTGTGTGTGTGTGTGTGTGTGTGTGTGTGTGTGTGTGTGTGTGTGTGTGTGTGTGTGTGTGTGTGTGTGTGTGTGTGTGTGTGTGTGTGTGTGTGTGTGTGTGTGTGTGTGTGTGTGTGTGTGTGTGTGTGTGTGTGTGTGTGTGTGTGTTTTCAGTTATATACATCTTATGTCTTTCATATTCATATCAATATTGGACAGCATGGGAGCAAATCACAATTCCCTACCAATTTCTTAATCTTTCTCTTATCCATTATAATTCATACAGTTCATGCCTCTTTAATAACTGCCTTTGGAAACTCAATGCATTCAAAACTCTCCATTTAAGAGGAAATTCGTTACATATGTGTATCAATAACACCTCATCCCAATACCAAAAACTTTACCTGAAAATGTGTTGATTCATGACATGCTAACTACATGTAAGTTTTCATGCATAGTATCACAATTTTTAGCATTATGGTCTTTGAAAACTGTTAAAAGTTTCTGAAACATATAAATCCAACCTATAACTGGCACAAGGCACTTATTTACATTTTTATTAGCAGTAGGAAGAGTGCAGTAAAAGAGGGCTGCAAAAACTTGAAAATAAGGAACAGCTAACAGTATCATCAACACAGGAAATGGAATATCACCAATGTGGTGCCAAAACTTCCACAGTGGAATGTCAGAATCACCTGACTTGTGCAACTTTGAATGTTCGAGGGAAAATAGAGCATACTGGTCAGCGATGTCGAGGAAGTAGTACACAACAGCAAAGGAAGTCGCTAGGTAAAAGGCTAGGCATAGCCATGCCATTCTCTGACGGAAATTCATTATGCTTGAAGGCTTGAGTGATGAGATGTGCGATGCATTATTTGTTTGTGTGACTTCGCTACTGTACAGCTGATGCTAGAATCATGCTGTTTTGTTGTTCATCTGTAAAATAAGAAGGTTAAAATGAAGCCAATGATCAATTGATATAAAGCTACAAATATACATTTACTTACCTATTCATACATAAAATACTTTATATGTTTTTTTTCTTTATTAACCCAGTGCCATCAAGGATGGCATGTAAATACATGCCATGCCCACTGTTTAGTTTATTAATTGTCTTTATTGCAAAACAAGAACTGTCTTGTTCAGAAACAAGGTCTGGTAAATCTTTACAGCACAGATACACTTACCAAAGACAAAGTCCCCAATGCCATTTCACAAAATCTATTCAGCAATCTAAGTTACCAAGATTAGTGTGCCCGAACAGCGGAGGGTTGATGGGGGGCTCTGCCCTCAACACCCCTGGGAAACGTTGTCTTCACCTTGGTATACCCAGAAAGATAAAGCAGAAACTTGAAACACTGAATTGACTAAGGTTGTGGGCAGCGATTTCCTCAATCTTTTTTCCTTTATTTCTGGGATTACTGTTGGTGTTTGCAAATTATTTCTTGATCCAATGACTGACTTTTTGTCGTTTACAAGAATGTAATTTTCAATTTGCCCTTGCACAGTGTCCATAATATAAAGATTAACTCAAGGCCTTAATAGTAAGTGGCATGTCTGTTCTAATTAGCTACTTCCCAAAACCACTGGATTAAACCAGAAATAACATTTATGATTGTAGGGTGAAGGTCAAAGTAGTTCAGTAAGTATTATTTCTTTGAATCAATCATATTTCAATAGTAATGTCACTACTGAAACATGCATTAGGATTTCCTGATCTAACAATTTCATATAGTTTTTGAATCATGGTTGCCACACATTAATAAAAATATGAAAAGGAGCTGCCTTTTGCAACTGTTTTATATTCCATACATCAAATAAATTTTATTTCCAATCTGTGACAACTATTTCATATATATATATATATATATATATATATATATATATATATATATATATATATATATTGTATTTCAACTACGGAATTATTGGTTTACCTCAACTACTATTTATTTCATATACTCTTTCTTTCATAGATATATAAAATTGGTTTCAATGGTTGGGAGAGGCATGGAGTGAACCAGGATACAAACACAGTGATAAAAACTCAAATAAAATAATTAAAAACGTAAAGCAATCTGTAAAAAGCCGAAAAAAATATGACCAAGAACATCACAGAGTACATGACTAGAAGGTACTTTAGTTGGTTGAGTAATCTGTGTAATGGAAAGAAAATAATAAACCATTTTATCATTCTTGGATATAATTAGTGTAGAGAAGAGGGGGATAACACTTCCAAAACCTCAAAGATAACAAACAAAATATCGTGCTCTTAACAATAAGATAAACTTCTTTCAAACGTTATCTTTCTGTCTCATATAATTCGCCTAAACATGAATCACGTAGAAAAGAGTTGTATTTTTTTTTCTTAGTATACCGACAACTTACGACACGCACTCGTACCTCAATAAACAGATAGTAAACGGTAGTAAACACTTTTCAATAACACCCTTACCAAGTACATTTAATGCCACGAGAAGAAAATTTATAGTTTACACGTCAGCATTCTCGATAACCCCGCGTGAACACCTGCTTCTGCGGGAACAGAATTATTACTGAACTTTGTGGGGTTTGTTTTGGTATGACGTCAAAACCTTCGTTCGTCTAGGCGTTCATAATGCGTTCGCGTAAAGGATTCAACGAACTTCATGTCTGTTTTTATTAACGCGGTTTCCTACATTTTGCTATATTTTGGGAACCTTATTATTATTTTTTTTTGCTAAAATCGGTGACTTTGCCGGTTTTGGATCCTATGCCTTTTCAATAAGTTTCAGCCTTTCCGAATGGGAAAGGCTAGATCAGTAGCAACTCAAGAAGGTCATGACGTCAGATTTCGATGGCGTTACAAAGGTTGTAATTCTATTTTTGAAAAAAGAAAACACTTAGACTTTATTATTCATTTTGCTCTTGTCAATTTTCAAAATAGATGGAAAATTATGATTTTGTGGGAGTCAAGCCAAAGTATTTTTAACTCAGCTTGAAGGAATTAACTATATCTACTTTTATTAAAACCTCCATGCACTCAATGAGTGAATGAATATTTTAAATTTAATGTGTACGATACAAGGCCGGGCTATTTTTAGAATAGCACGTTCATGTTTACATTTTGTACAATAACCAACAATGTTCAAGTTTCAATGGCTTTTTAGGCGTTTTTGACTTCATAAAGTCTTGTTGGCCTGGTATCCTATACATTGAGTGAAATACCTTTCATCCATTCATTGAGTGCATGGAAGTACTAATAAAAGATGTACTTAATTCCTTTAAACTGAGTAAAAAAAAAAAAAAAAAAAAAAAAAAAGAAAAAATAAAGAAAAAGAAAAAAGAAGAAGACGAAGAAGAAAAAGAAGAAGAAGAAGAAGAAGAAGAAGAAGAAGAAAAAACAGGCTATGGCTTGACTCCCACTGCGAGCAATTCACTTGAGAATCATCCATGAATAAGCATAATCGCCCACTCTTCTCATCCACAGGGCTATTTTGATGATTGTTCAACAAAAAATAACCATTAAAATCCTTATTTTCCATCCTTTTTGAAAGCTGAAAAGACCAAAATGATCGACCATATTCACCGCTCGTCCAGTAGTGCACGAATATCGTGGTATTAGTGAAAGATTATCATCAATTTCGCTATAAAATTGTCCATTCACTTTTTGGCATAATTCTTGCCAGCAGAGCGGGCTATCCGGCCGGTTCGTGGGTGCCGTCGCGATCAAAATAAACCCTCTGTGCTTTTTCCAAAACAGAATGGCAACTTTTGTGACGTCATCAAAATCTGATACTGCTCGTAATACGACTGTTTTTTTTTTTATTTTTATTATTTTTTTTTTTGTGCGTGTGTGTGTGTAAGTGTGTGTACACGTTACTGTGTATGCATATGTTCATGTGTGTGCGCATATATGTACACAAGTGTTTGATGAGGTTAGATTCTGGTCCAATCTGAGTAAATCTAAGGACGATGCGCCGCTTTTAAGTAGCCTCCAGAGGAAAAGAAAATCTGTGATAAATAAGGAAAACAGATTCTGCTCAAACGCGAGCTTCAAGTCTTTACTTTTCTGTGTATTGATAATTTTTCTCACTTGATTTTTTCAGCCATTCTCCTTTAGGAAATGATAGAAGTTATAATACCCCACCTGCTAATAGAAACACACCCTGGCCTTGTATTATATTTGCATATTTGCAAGCATTCGCACACAGGTCTAGATAACTTCTCTTCGCACACACAGAGAGAATGTCGGTATACAATTAGCCACAACCACATCCACGTCCACACACACAGACACACGTGCACATAAACCCACATGCATACGCACACGCCCATGCACGCATCTGACCTACACCATATTTCTCGAGAAAAGTTCCCATCTCGTCAAAACTTCAGGAAAGAATGATGAATTTTTAGTCGTAAGGAGGGATTGGAAAGTGAAATTTGGACCAAAACCAAGGAGAGAAAAGTGTGCTTCCAATTCGGTTCAAAAAAGGAAAATGTGCTTTTAAAATCTTGAGCATATATTTCTTATTAATATACTGGAGACAGCTACAGAGCAAGTAAAAATAAATAAATAAATGAATACTATTCATTCATATCTATTGAATTGATTTATTGAAAGCGTATCACATCAGTGGAGACGGTTGTCTATGGTAGAGAGAGAGAGAGAGAGAGAGAGAGAGAGAGAGAGAGAGAGAGAGAGAGAGAGAGAGAGAGAGAGAGAGAAGAGAGAGAGAGAGAAAGAGAGAGAGAGAGAGAGAGAGAGAGAATGAAAGGAATATCGAGTCAAAACACAGTCCCGATATTATGTGTGAATTTCGATTCTTTTCGGCCGAGGTGAACGTTGTCCTTCATATATGGGTGTATATATTTGAATGTATTTATAGTATACATTTATACACACACACACACACACACATATATGTGTGTGTGTGTGTGTGTACATATGATTATTATTCGAAGAGCAAAAGCGTCGTCTTACAACAATAAAGAAATTCAAAATTCATTTCCTCCAAACTGTTTATTGGGAGACAGACGAGAGTGTTTCGAAGACGCAGTAGGTATGTCTCTGATTCTTGAGAAGTTTCAGTAAGGCGACTGTTTCCTCTCTCTTCTCTTGTTCTTTACCAAACTATTTATAATTCGATAAAAACTATATTATGTAAAATACATTTTATATTGGCCCGTAAGGGGATCCCTCGACATCCGCGTTACTAGCACGGCGCTCTAACCGACTGAGCTAACAGATCCTTCTTACCTTTTCACTTCGGTCGAATTTAATTAACAAAACAATTTGCAAAAAATATCTGAAGGGTCTAATTCATCATCAAGCGTCTTGTTTCGCCTAATAATACATGGAGTCAACCTCAAAATGAGTCAAACTGGTAGCCATTATCTCCAAGCCTTCGACCTCAGTCCATGTGAAAGGAAAATCATAAATTCTCAGACTGAATGGACAACCAGGAGAGAAACGAAAGCAGATCTTCCAACACTTGTTCTTAACTCAAATCAGACTTAATGAGGGAAATTCCTGAACAAAAGAGCATTAGACAAATTTTAAATTCTTTCCCCGTCGTAGTGTCATCGAGCTTGAGGGCCCTCGGCTTAATGATAAATTATATTGCAAATTATTAAACTAAATGTAGGATGGAACACATTTTCCTTGAATAACTATATGAACAAATAAATGAAAATAAAAATGCGACTGACGAATATCATTTCATTTTTTTCTAAACTTATTGACAAGAATAAGTACGATTTTCGGTTTGTAAATATAGATCAAAGTTAAAATTTATATTGTGATAATTGAACAGGTGTTGATAAGTGCCTCTTACTTTACTTAGTTTTGTTTTAATCATCAAGGTGTTTTAGATCCATTTATGATTATATATGTATATATATATTATATATATATATATATATATATATATGTGTGTGTGTGTGTGTGTGTGTGTGTGTGTGTGTGTGTGTGTGTGTGTGTGTGTGTGTGTATGTGTGTGTGTGTGTGTGTGTGTGTGTATGTGTGTGTGTGTATGTGTGTGTGTGTGTGTGTGTATGTATGCATGTATGTATACGCGTGGGTGTGTGCCTGTGAGTGTCTGCAAAGGACTTTTTATATATATATAGTATCACTATAGCCCCTTTGGTGGGGGGAGGGGGACATATAATAATACTATAATAGTGTAAGCCCCCCGGTGGCACACATAATTCTGGCCTTGATAATAGTGAAATAATGAGAAGCATTAGTAAACGGTGTTGATGTAGGAAATATAATGTTGAATGGCTCTATAATCCCTTGATGATCCAAGAAATGTAGGCAAGGTAACAGGCATTTATTGACACCTTTTCAGATATCGGATATATATATTTTTATCTCTGCTTTAAATTAGAAAACGAAAATCAGTTACTCTTACTGTCAAAAAGTAAAAGTTTTTTTTTTTTTAATCTGATAGTTTCATACGTTCTAAATAACGCAAATAACAAGCTTTCTCTCCATTTCTCATTATTTTCCTAAAGAATTAGAGAATCTTCCGTTATCATTTGTGAAAAAGAGCTGATTGTTGGCGAAATTCTCTCAGACTGAACAAGACATCCATCGGCCTGTCGGTCGGACGCCGTGCGACTAAGGCGGACGTCGAGGGTCGACCAATTTGCGAAATTTTATACTTGTCAATTAATGAAGTTGTGCGAAGGGGGGAGGGGGAGTGCATGGGGGGGGGGGAATGGCCTGTCGATTTCCTCATGTCCCCCCCCCCCCATACACACACACAAACACATGGATTATGAATTAGTTTTAATGAGAAAATATATTTTATGTTTTTTCAGTTCTTATAAAAAGTTATTTGAGCACACAAACATCTAACTATCTATCTATATACATATAGATAGATAGTTAAATATACATACATACATATGTATACAGTTATATCTACATATATGTGTGTGTGTGTTTGTCTGTGTGTATGCATAAGCGTACAGAAATAAATAAATAAATAGGTAGATGAGTGAGTAATAGAAAAAAATGTAATTCGTATGGAGACAAAGACCTTTTTACATTCAAAAACGCACCCAAGCTTTACACTATATTTGTATACTTGCAAGCATTCGCACACAGATCTCGGTAACTTACAGGGAGACATGCAGGGAGATGTACACATAAACCCACATGCACACGCACACGCCCATGCACGCATCTGACCTACACCATATTTCTCGAGAAAAGTTCCCATCTCGTCAAAACTTCAGGAAAGAATGATGAATTTTTAGTCGTAAGGAGGGATTGGAAAGTGAAATTTGGACCAAAACCAAGGAGAGAAAAGTGTGCTTCCAATTCAGTTGAAAGCAAGAAAAATGTTCTAGTATTCAGGAAATGTTCTTTTGAAAGCTTAAGCATATATCCCTGGACACAGCTAAGGCTTGTGATAAATAAATCATTTTCCATTTATTGAACTGATTCATCGAAAGCTCAAGACGTCGGGAGAAGGAACAGCCAGACAAGGTTCACTCGCGCGAAATTTCAGATTTGCGCGAATCTCGATTCTTTTGGCCGAGGTGAATGTTGTCCTTCATGCTCATAGAAAACGAAATTCATGAAATTCAAGTTCGATAAACAGGCCATTTTCACACACACGCGCATAAATAAATAAAATAAATAAATAAATAAATAAATAAATAAATAAATAAATATATATATACTTATATAACATATATACATATGTGTGTGTATGAATATATGATTATTATTGCAAGAGAAATGACATCGTCTAACAATGACAAATCAATTCAATCATTTCTTCCGAACTGTCCATTGGGAGACAGCGAGACAGTTACTAAGACGCGGTAGGTATGTCTCTGACTCTTGATAAGTTTCAAAAAGGCGACTGTGTTTCCTCTCTCTTCCCTTCTGTTCCTTGTCGAACATTTATTCTAATTCGGTAAGAGATAGATTATCAAAACGTTAAAACCCGTTGCACGATTGGCCCGTAAGGGGATCGAACCCTCGACATCCGCGTTAGTAACACGGCGCTCTAACCTTCTGAGCTAATAGGACGATACATGTACAATTGCATTGTCACAGTAAATAAATTCAAAATTCATTTCTTCCTAACGGTTCATCAGGAGATTGTGACAGTTACTAAGACGCGGTAGGTATGTCTCTGACTCTTGATGTCTCAAAAAGGCGACTGTGTTTTCTTTCTCTTCCCTTCTCTTCTTTGTCGAAACTTTATACCAATTCGGTAAGATATATATCATCTAATCGAACCCTCAAATATCCGCGTCATTAACACGGCGCTCTAACCAACTGAGCTAACAGGACGAAATCAAATAAAATGCATTCTCACAGCATATCAATTCAAAATTCATTTCTTCCGTACTGTTCATTGGGAGACAGCGAGACAGTTACTAAGACGCGGTAGGAATGTGTCTAACTCTTGATAAGTTTCAATAAAGCGACTATGCTTCCTTTCTCTTCCCTTCTGTTCTTTAACGAACACCAATTTGAATTCAATAAGAGATATGTTAACTAAAAATTCAGGGTGTGTTGCCCGTAAGGGGATCGAACCCTCGATACCCGCGTTATTAACACGGCGCTCTAACCAACTGAGCCAACAGGCAAAGAATTACATTGAATAATGGATAGAGTGTATTGAATGATCAACACATTCAAAAAATTAGCTGAAGATTCTAATTCATTATCATATTTTTCACCTATTGATAGAGTCAAAATCAGAGAGGTTCAAACTGGTAGACATTATATTCAGGCCTTCGATCTTAGTCCATGTGAAAGGAAAATCATAAATGTTCCTATTGTATGGGCAATCAGGAGAGCTGACGAATTGTAGATTCATCCAATACTTGATTTGTTGTTGTCGAACGTAAATCAGATTCAATGAGGAAAATTCATGGACAGAAGAGGACAAATGGACAAATTCTAACGTTCTTTCCCCATCATAGTGTCATCTGGTGCGATACAGTTAACGCACGAATCCAGGGGTTCATTTTGAGCTCAGGGGGACCAGGGCATGTCGAGCTCGAGGGCCTCTCAGGATGATAGGAAAAGATTATATGGCAAATAATTATAGTAACTAAAATGTATGATATGTTTCTTAAATAGATGAATAAATGAATTAAAAAGGAAAGCTTCTAATTTCATTTCCATTTTCTTGACAAAACTACGATTTTCAGTTTAAAACATAGACCATAGTTCAAAGGTATATTGCGATAATTAAACAGGTGTTAATAAACACCTTTTACTTTACCTTCATATTTTGCATCATCATTGCATTATCAATCCATTCATGATTATGATTTGTGAATGAACACTGTTTACTTATTTTTAAATATTTTACAATTATCAATTTATTAACTTATTCGATTGAAGGCCAGCCTGTAGAATTTCTGCCCCCCCCCCCCCCCCTCCCCCACACACACGGGTTATGAATTCGTTTTAATAATAATTTTCTATTTGTTTCCACTCTCTCTCTCTCTCTCTCTCTCTCTCTCTCTCTCTCTCTCTCTCTCTCTCTCTCTCTCTCTCTCTCTCTCACACACACAATACATATATATGTATGTATGTATATGCATAAATATAAATATCATATATTATATATATATATATATATATATATATATATATATATATATATATATATATATATATTATTTATGCATATCTTATGTATATCTTATATATTGCATATACCATATATACATATTACATATATATATTATACATGTAGATAGATATGTAGATGGTATGGTAGAAAAAATATTTGTACGAATGAAGACAAAGACGCTTGTATAATAATAATAATAATAATAATAACGCAGCCCCCCATACGTATATATGTATATATATATATATATATATATATATATATATAATATATATATATATGTATATATATATGTGTGTGTGTGTGTGTGTGTGTGTGTGTGTGTGTGTGTGTGTGTGTGTATGTGTGTGTGTGTGTCGTGTGTTCGTTTATATTCACGATTCTTATTGCAAGAGAAAAAAAAGTCGTCCTACAGTAAATCAATTCAAAATTGATTTCTTCCGAACGGTTCATCAGGAGATTGCGAGACAGTTACTAAGACGCGGTAGGTATGTCTCTGACTCTTGATNTATATATATATATATATATGCTTATATATATAATATATAATAATTATAAATGTATATATATATATATAAATAATAATATATATATATATATATATATATATATGTGTGTGTGTGTGTGTGTGTGTGTGTGTGTGTGTGTGTATGTGTGTGTGGTGTGTGTGTGTGTGTGTGTGTGTGGTGTGTGTGTGTGTGGTGTGTGTGTATTAATATATACATATATATATATATATATATATATATAATATAATAAATATATATATATATATATATATATATATATTATATATAATATATATCTGTATATATGCTTACATGCATAATATACAATATATGTATATATATATATATATATATATATATATATATATATATATATATATATATATATATATATACAATTACATACATATATATATAATATATATATATTATATATATAATATAAATATATAAATATATAGTATGTATGTATATTATGCATATATATATATATATATATACATATATATATATATATATATATATATATATATATATATATTATATAAGTATATATATATATATTATAAGTAAATGTATATATATATATATATAATATATATATATATATATATTATAATATATTATATATTATATATGTCCCATAGTCTTGTAGACCGTAGGGGCACCGCGTACATTTGATATCAAACCTCTCCATTTTTCTCTGTTTCTGCCTTTCTTATTTGTTCTAAGTTGAAGGCCTGTCCATTCTTTGATGTTATACTTCCATCGCTTCCTCTGCCTACCTCTCCTTCTTTTTCCTTGTTCGGTGCCCTGGAGAATTGCTTTAGAAAGACCTGATGACCGTGTTATGTGGCCGTACCATCTCAGTTTTCGTTGTTTAACTGTTTTTAATAGTTCGTCGTGAGGTCCAATGGCACAGCGGATTCTTTTTCTGACTTCCTCATTAGTAATACGGTCTGTATACGAAATACCAAGAAATCTTCTGTAATTCCTCATCTCCATTGCTTGTATTTTTCTTTCTTTTTCAGCTGTTAAAGTCCAGGACTCGCAGGCATATAAGAATTTAGATGACTAGTGATCGTAAGAGTCTTATTTTTGAGTTAAGGGCTATATTCTTATCCTTCCATATGATTTTGAGCCTAGCAATCGCTGCTGTAGCAAAAGCAATCCTGGAGCATACTTCAGGCAATGAACCCTCATCAGTTACTATGGCTCCCAGGTATTTGAAGCTTTGAACATCTTCCACTTTCTCATCATTGATCTTGATGGTGCTATTGATGTTGTTGGTCGCATTGGTCATGAGTTTAGTCTTTTCTGCGCTGATTTGCATGCCATAAGCAGACGAACTCTTGTCCAGGCGGTTCACGGAGTGAACGAGTTCTGATTCAGTTCAGTTCTGCCTGCCAAGCCGTCTATGTCATCTGCGAAGCGCAAGTTTGTGATCGTTCTGCCACCTATACTTACTGTCCCTATGCGATCTTCTAGTGCGTCAGCCATAATTCTTTCCAGGAAAATATTAAAGAGAGTGGGGGAGAGCAAACAACCTTGTCTAACTCCCATTCTTGTTTTGAACCGATCTCCTATATTGCTGTTGAAGCAAACTGCACTGGTGGTTTTTCATATAGAAGTTTTGGATCACCCTAATCAGGTTGAAATTTATGTTGTACAGCCTCATGGTGGACCAGACCCGATCAAACGCCTTTTTGAAGTCAACGAAAACGTGGTAGAGATCTTGGTGTTGTAGGTATGTCTCGCACAGTATTCTTAGGTTAAAAATCTGCTCCATTGTGTTCCGTCCTGGTCGGAAGCCTTCTTGTTCCTCTGCATGATTTTCTCAGCTTCTGGCTTAAGACGATTCAATATGATCTTAAGTATGACTTTACTCGGGGGCTGATGAGGCTGATTGTTCGGTAGTTTTGGCATAGCTGGAGATTGCCTTTCATCCATGGAAGAGGTCATACCCCTGTCTGCCAGATCTTGTTACATATAATGAACAGGGCATTCGTCATTTCTTCATTTCTTCAGCAGGAATATTATCCACTCCTGCTGACTTTCCTTTCTTTAGTGCTCTCACTGCTGCTTCCAGTTCCTCACTGAGTATTGGGTGATTGCCATTGATGGTTGATGGACGGGTGTTCAGCACTTATTGGTCTCCAGTGGTTCTGTAGTTATACAGCTCTGAACAATAGTCTGTCCATCTCTTCAGGATGCTCTCATTTTCTGTTAAAGGTACACCAGTTTTGTCCTGTATGATTGTTGTCTTTGCTTGTTTTGTGCTGGTCAGCTCTTTAATTAGTTGGTGAGTCTTTTTACTGTTGTTTGTTTTGAAGCTTTTCTCTATGTTTTGGTATTGGTCCGCCAACCACACCTCTTTTGCCTTTTCATTTCCTTTTTAATCTTCTGGTTGACTTCTCTGTATTGTGTCGATCCTTGTACATCATTCCTGTTCTTCGCTTTAAGCTCCCTACGTTTGTCACACAGGTCAAGAATTTCACCTGTGACCCAAGGCTTCTTTACTCTTCTGTGTTTTCCTAGGACCTCCTTTGTTGAATCGATCACTGACTTGTTGAAGCTGTTAGTCAACGTGTCCAAGTCCATGTCTGGATCTAGGAGTGAGAGTGCAGCAAATTTTCTTCCTATGGTGGCTTGAAAGATTTCTGCAACATCAGGGTCCTTTAGCTTTTCGAGGTCAAATTTGATCCTAGTGCAACCTTGTTTCTTGACCCTCTTCAGATGTAGTTTGAAGATCATCATGACAAGATTATGATCGCTTCCAATATCAGCTCCTGGGAAGCTTCTGGTCATGTTGATATTTACTCCAGTTTTGAAACTCTTCTTCGCCATGATGTAGTCAATCTGGTTCTTAGTCTGTCCATCCGGGCTGTACCAAGTGACTTTTCTAGAGGTTTTGCGTGGGCCAAGCGTTTTGTGTGGGCCAAACCATCAAATAATTGTAACGCAAATTCCAAAAGCCGCAGGCCTCTGTCATTTGATCTTGTGTTACAATGCTGCCCACATGTGCCTTTCCAGTTCTCGTATGCATCTTCTCCAATCTTGGCATTCCAGTCCCCTTGTACCACAAGGATGTCTTTCTTGGGTGAGTCATCTAAGACTTTCTGCAATTCGTCATATATATATATATATATATATATATATATATATATATATATATATATATATATAATATATATATATACATATATGTGTGTGTGTGTGTGTGTGTGTGTGTGTGTGTGTGTGTGTGGTGTGTGTGTGTGTGTGTGTGTGTGGGCACGTATACATATGTGCGTGTATATATATAAATTATATATATATATATATATATATATATATATATATATATATACATAAAACACACGTGTGTGTGTGTGTGTGTGTGTGTGTGTGTGTGTGTGTGTGTGTGTGTGTGTGTGTGTGCGTGCGTGCGTGTATGCACGTATACATATGTGCGTGTATATATATATAATATATATATACATATATATGTACATAAACACACACGTGTGTATGTATTTGTGTGACCTTACATAATGAATATACACATTTACCAATATCATGCCTAAACAATAAGCCCCCCTCCCCCTACCACTCCTCCCTCAATCTCCTGACCCCCGAGAGAATTGAATTTTGCTGTTCAATTAAAAGTTTTCTCGAGACGCCTAAATGGTAATGGTTTCCCCGTCGTAAGTGCATTAAAAAGACGATAAAGTTTTTTTTTTCTTTCTTTCTTTCTTTCATTCTGTAATTTTTCTTTTTTTTATTTTTCTTTTTTTTCCTTTCCTGTTTCTTTCTTTTCCTTTTCTTTCTTTCCTCATTCTTTTTTCCTCTTCCCACGACGATTGGCTATCACGACCGCTCTTTCACTGGTGCTCGTCACTGACGACCTTACGAAGTCAACACTATACCAAGTTTCTTTTGGCTATTATAGGTCTTTCGCTGAGTTCACGATGGATGGGTTGGCTTTTCTTATTTGCTTTGGGAAATTCGTGTGTTTTCTGTAACCAGTATGTAATTAATATGTAATTAGCGTTTTACGTATTATTATGGACCATGTTTGTATTACAATCGGTTTTGCACTGAGTTCTAGGTGCTTGCTGTAGGAAATCCGTATTTTGTCTGTAATTAGTATGTAATTGATATGTTCTATGTATTATTATGGACCAAGGTTGTAATGTCTATTACAGTTTTTTTTCGCTTAGTTCTCTATATAAAGATTAACTTTTGTTGCTTGCTATGGTAAATTCGTATTTCTTTCTGTAATGATTATGTAATTAATATATCATTCGCATATTTTACGCATTAGCATGGACCATGTTTGTATTGACCCCTATAGATCTATCGTTGAGTTCGCGATGGAAGGGTTGGATTTTGTTTCTTTTGAAAAAAGTTTTCGTTTTTATGGCCTATAATTAGTTTAATTGATCTATAATTCTTTCGATTATAAAAAAATGTTTTTTATAATTCTTTTTATGTATTAGTTTTAGTGTGGTTTATATTTTAATGTGTTTTAAGTGTTTTATGATTTTTTTGGTGAATTTTATTTTTTAATGTATTTCATTTATGGGCCGACGTTGTATTACTTATTACAGCTCTTGCGCTTAATTCAAGATGGAAGAATTGGATTTTGTTGTTACTGCATTAGGGTTTTTTCTTCCTTTTTCTTTTCCTTTTTTAATTAATTTTTTTACAATAAGTTTATTTTTTTCGATACAATTAATGGTAATAATCATGAGATACTGATTGATGGACATTTTGTTTTATGATTTTATTTTCGTAAACTTGGTCGATATTGACAGTAATGACAATCATTATAATGGTGATTATGATAATAACTAACAACACTATTGATAATGTTAATGATTTGTTTAATTAAAATCGTACTAGAATAATTTCTAAGATCATGGGATAGACATAATAACAGTTACTAAGAAAATCATGAAAACATTATTGACAAATAAACCCCACATTCATGCCTGTTGTATCAGATTCGCATAATTTCCAATCTGATTTCCTGGATAAAGAAAAAAACAAAATAAATATTCCTTTTTAATGACCTCCCCTTCCAGGTTTTTCAGTTGCCTCAGAGAATCATCCAACACACACACTTACTTCCGTACCCCCAGGACATTCCGATAACTTGCAACTTTAACTCTATATTGCAATTTGCATACACGGGGTCAACAGTTGCAACAGGAAATTTGGGTCTGGCTCATGCACAGAACAAGGGCAGCTGCTGTTGTGCATGATATGCATGCTGTGGTCCGGCAATCTAGCCTTAGCAGTTTGTTTCCTCTGCGGTGAAGTGGCGAGCGGGATTGAGATGAGGGGTTGGGAATGGGTGGTTGTGTATGTGTACACACACACACACACACACTGTGCTTCTATTCACGCAGAGGGCTGTCAGTCAAACATTAGTGTTATATACAGCCTGAAGAGCTGTGCCATCTTCACTGCATTATTAGTTATCCTCTAGATGGTAAAAAAACTTTTATATCACGAATCATGTCAAAGATGACCAGAATCTATAATAAAGTTAATATAATCAGTAGGTGCAATTTTGGTGCAACAGAGTAAGTAATGGGTAAGATTATGCGAATTGGGCGCTTTGCACAGTTTGCAATGGTGATGTCAAACTGGTTTTGCCTCCAAAACTGCATTCTGTACATATGGTACAGTATACTGATATCCTATGCGTAGCCTAGTCAGGTTAACCTGCTGTCTCCAAGACAGTCCATTATAGACTTTATTTATATCTGCTGTTCCAGCTATACTAACATAGACATAACATGAAAACATTATTGACAAATAAACCCCACATTCATGCCTGTTGGGCGCTTTGCACAGTATGCAATGGTGATATCAAACTGGTTTTGCCTCCAAAACTGCATTCTGTATATATGGTACAGTATACTGATATCCTATGCGTAGCCTAGTCAGGTTAATCTGCTGTCTCCAAGACAGTCCATTATAGACTTTATTTATATCTGCTGTTCCAGCTATACTAACACATACACACACACACACACACACACACACACACACACACACACACACACACACACACACACACATATATACACATATACAGACACACAGACACACACATACACACACACACGCACGCACATTCACATACACACGCACACACACACACACACACACACACACACACACACACACACACACACACACACACATATATACATATATACATATATATATATTTACATATATATAAACATATATATAAACATATATATATATACATATATAATACTATATATATATATATATATATATATATATGTATATATATATACATATATACAT